ACACACACACACACACACACACACACACACACACACACACGCACACCCTTCTATCCTCATGGAAACTTTTTATTGACCTCTATTCATTTACAGGTCATGTCTATAGCCTAACCCTGACCCTAACCCTAACCCCCTAACCTGACCACCCCAGTACATACCTAAACCTAAACATAACCTAAACTCAATTTGCACCTTATACCTAAACTTAACCCCTGATTCACCAATGGTATTTCCAAGATGAGTTCTCACCAAGCTGTGTGTACTGGGAAAATGGTCAAAAATCATCCCCACCACTTAATAAAACCGTGTATGCATACACACACATTCCCAGAAACAAGCACGTGATTGCCTGCCTTTCATGATGGCAGACAATAAAAAATGTATTTGAAATTAATAATGTTATGATAAATAATAATGAAATAAAATAAAGAAATGCTAAACTACATTAAACAGTTAACTTGTTTCTCATGCAGGACTGAGTGATTTGTTGTAAAGAAACATAACAAGCTGAGAGAGTACCTGCTGCTTTGGTTCGAATCTGTTTAGACGGCGTGCTGGGTTCTCCAACACCAACACTGTTGATTGCCACCACCCTGAATTCATATTCCACCCAGGGGTTCAAATCCTTCACTGTTGCGTGCATCATCTGTCCAGGCACAGAATCAGGAACTAGGATTAAAGAATTAAGAATTGAGATGTGTTTTTACACTACACTTTTTGTTCTCCACAAACAACTTAACAAAAATAAAAAGTAACTAAAACCCAGTGAAGTAGATCAAGTTGGATTGATTGTGGCTGTAAATCTATTAATCCTTTTCTAAATGTTTCCAGTTCAACAATTATTGTTGATATCACAATGTCTTTTTGGCACTGGCAATACAAATATGAACACAGAAGCATTTAGCAAACAAGAGAAGTATTACAAGAAGTTTAACTGAGGTGACCAACATAGCTCCATATATTCCTACAATCAAGCTTATTTAGTGTGAAGCCTTTAAAGTGACATACTATGTAAGAAAACAAGAAAATGAGTTTTTCTGTTATTCAGAGAACACATCTTGGAATTTGAAGTGATTACTAGCTCCAAAAAATCCATCAAAGGAAATGTAAAGAATGTTAAAGGAAGGGCTATTACGCAAAATTGCCTTTTAGAGATTCATATCATGTTTTGTCATTCCCTCATTAAAAACATACCCAGAGTGTTGCTTTGACTCATTCATGCATGTTAGGAAAATCCTTGAATCTCCTGTGGTAGCCATGTGGAGCTGCCTAAATGCTTGCCGTTACAAAGCACCGCCTATTTACACAAAGCTCCTCCCTGGAGCTCATTTTCCAGCCGAGCTCCCGCCCCACAGAACACCCCTCCCCCGGAAGCATTGTTGTGAAGATGTGCTGAAGTGGGAGTGTTGGAAATGGTAGGAGGTCCTTAAAGAGGCAGAGGCCAATTCCATGGTGTTTAGATAGACTTTCACGCAAAGTCAAATTTACTTTTGATATGTACAGCTTTTTCATAACAGCTGAAGGTAATATTTACTTGACTGTGGTATAGAATTGAGATTTTTCTAAAACTGCTATTTTGAACCAGTTTAAGGGAAGAAGTACTTCAATTTATGGAGTACAGCCATGGAATAATCTTGAGATCGATGTTAAAACTGCTGGAAAATTAGCCACTCACTAAAGTGGAAGTTGGTACCTCACTTATTTTCTAAGATAGACGGATGGAGGAATGAACTGAGGGCATTTCTTCCAAGAGGAAGAAAACATTTATTTAAAAGTCTACGTGTTCTCAGTAATAAAGAGTTGTTTACCTGTTCTCAAAGTCTGCCAGCCAATGGAGAAGGGGGTCCTAGCTTGAACCATGTACATGGTGATGGGACTGTGGTGATCAGGTCCAGAGCTCCACGACAGCTGCACTGTTGTATCAGTAATATTAAACACTACAGGAATGTTTGGTGCACCAGGTGGTCCTACAACAACCAGAAAGAAGAAACTATATTAGCATTTGCCTCAATGTATGAGAAAGCTGATAAAAACATAGGATGGTAGTTTTCTGTATCGCACTCTAAACTCTGACACGTGTTAAGCAATTTATAACTCAGGGTTCATGAAAAGCTTGAGTCTCATCAATCCTAAATATTACAGTTCATCAGGATGGGTTACACAAAATGCCCAGCCCCAAACACAAAACCCAGATAGTCAGAAAGAAAGAGATCGTAATGTTTTTAATAAAATAGGGAAGGCAGGAGCATCCAAAGGTAGAAGAGAGTTTGTGGCTGGTAAAACGGGGCAGAGCAGAATGCAAGTTGGATAGATGACTGACTGACAGGTGTGGAGGTGAGAAAGAGTGCAGGCAGAGTGCAATGATCCACACTGACTGAAAGAATGAGCAGCCGATGGAAGGTTTAAGAACTGGGGATGATATACTGCAGGAGTGATAGGTGGATGGATAGCTGGTGTGCAGGCTGATGAGCAGCCAGAGAGCGAGGGCAGTGAAGAAAACACCACACCCACAAAACAGAAACACACACACACACACACAGACTGCACAGCACAGGAGACACCAAGGAAAGTAGAATATCAGACATCCATCCATCCATCCATCCATTTTCTGTACACGCTTCTTCCTTTTCAGGGTTGCGTGGGTCACTGGTGCCCATATCCAGCAGTCACAGTGCGAGGGGCAGGGTACACCCTGGACAGGTCGCAAGTCCATCACAGGGCCACACAAATAGAGACAAACAACCAACTTCACTTTCTCACTCACACCCAGGGACAATTTAGAGTTATCATTTAACCTAACAGTCATGTTTTTGGTCTGTGGGAGGAAGCCGGAGTACCCGGAGAGAACCCACGCATGCACGGAGAGAACATGCAAACTCTACCCAGGTCCCCTGACAGGGATTTGAACCGGTGACCTTCTTGCTGAGAGGCATCAGCTCTACCAACTGAGCCACCGTGCCGCCAATATCAGACATAAGAAAAATAAATTGAAGGCAAGATATGAAAATGACAAGCCGTGGTATGCTGATGTCGCCTGACCCTGAAGTATTTGAATAGTGAATGTTTATATTTTTCGAGGAGTATTTTTCTGGACTGGAATRAAACAAGAGAACACACTAAAGGTTAATGTTTGCAATGTAGGATATTCAAGGGGGTAGGAGTTAAACTGGCCAGGTTCAGTGGCAGAGCCAAAAGATGCCAGTGGTGGGCTTGCCCACAATTGAATGGACTTCAACCACCCCACCAGCCACGCCAATCATTTGAAGAAACTGTATCTTTAAGTAATATAAAAACTAGAAAGCATAGCTTGTTAAAATGTTCTGGGTTTACATATAAATATGGTGGTGGCCATATTGGATTTTGATGTGGCAACCCAATTTTCAATAGCAACGTTTCTTATTGCAGCCACACATTAAAATGGAAGTTGGCTTGCTCCTTTTCTTTTTCCAAAATATACAGCTTACAAAGTTTACACATAGACTAAGGTGACAGCCATTATAGATTTTAACATGGCAATCGAGTTTTCAATATGAATCTTTATTACGTTGAAATGCAGCAACACACCTGAATGTGTCAGTACCTCCCTTATTTTTCAAGTTGTCCTTAAGGACCACTATCCTTCATGTTTTCCTTGGTGCCCTGCTCCAACACACCAGATTCAGTCACTAAATGTATTGCCTTTTCTGCTGATGCCTGTTTATCACCCATCCATGTAAATCAGGTTGGTTAGAGCAGATAAACTTCTAAAGCATGCAGTGYCTCTCGAGGACCAGGATGAGACATCCCGGAGCTAGACAGATGAACTGAATGACAAACATCTGGGCAGAAACAACTGGGAACAGGTGAGAGTGGGTGGGGCAGGATATGAACTGAGGACATCAAGCACTTGGGAACATATAGGAAAACTAAACAAGAACCAATAGTGTTGAATAATTAGACGTAAAACATTACTATGAACAAAACACAGATCCTGATAAAATGAGAGCCAGATTCATGTGAAGCATATTTCATTTGTCATCGTCTTCATTTTTGTAWAAAAACTGTTAACAATGTAAACTCTGTTGTGTGGTTTTGTACACTAGAGATTCGATTAGAGTTATTTTTAGGGATGCACCGATATGAAAATTTCAGCCGATATCGATATCCGATATAATTATTGGCGCCGATGACCGATACTTACCGATATTACACAAAAATACAAATTATATTATACATYTACGCACAAACACACTTGGGTCTCTTTTTGATACCATAAATAAATGACCAGACCTCTGACATGGCTCCCTACTTCAGTTATTCCTGGCTGTGTAGCATCAATATCACTATCACGATCAAACAGATGCTGCTCAACCAACCGTTTCCCCTCTCAAAACAGAAACACAAAGCTAAAAAGTGGGAAATAAATATCGGACATTAATACCTTTTTACTTATTGGACCGATACCCATATTCTAAAAAATGACCAATATCGGCCGATACCGATATCAATACCGATATGTCGTGCACCCCTAGTAATTTTTGATTCTGGTACAAAGTAAATATTTTTTATCTGAATTTCTACATTGATTTTTTGATTTAAGGTTGTTGTACAGCAATGCTTTAGCTGGGACAACAGCACACTGGTTTGACTATATTTACTGCTACTGCAAGAAAGGAAAACAAAAAAGGCCTAAAGAAATCCCTCTTTACCAATTCTAGACTTGTGAAATGAAAACTATTTAAAACAATACTGATTTGATACAATACTGATGTTGAGGATTTGGGAAAACTTTTTTTCTGTGGGAGTTACACTGAAATTAGCAAAAGCTTTAATGAGATCAAACAGCCTGTCGGGAAACTGATATGAGATTTCCTGCTAAGCCCTGCAAATCTGCAGAAATAGCTTTACACCCTCAGCAGGACTTCCTACTCCTGGTAAATCACTGAACATCAAAAAACATGGTTTCAGCTTACACACATATAAACACTGAATTTGTATGTAAAAAGAGCAAAGCTTAGATTGTAGACGTTTGCAGCACTTTGCTAATCTAAACCTTCCCGAAAACATTCTTCCTTTAAAAAGCTGGCCTAAACTTTCATCTCCATATTCATTAGGCAGTTTCTCTGTGTAAGGGCTTCAATTTAAATTTAATGGTGGGGTACAAAAAGAAATAGAAAGAAAAAAAGGTTTTCAGAATATGCTATTTTAGGGTGCGCATGAGCTGCTGAGCTGCTGAGTTCTCAACGAGCTTAATCAACTAAGGAATAATGTACTGGTAAGCTTGGTTCTCAGGTAAATATACTATATAATTTAATACGTTTAAGGCATTTATAATCTATAACGTCTTAACTGTTATTAATTGGCTTTTCATTATAACAAACTGGACGGAGAAACTGRGGAGAGTCTGGAGTTTTTCATCGACGAGTGTTTTGAAAAAATAGTCATGGGCAAACCGAAACATACCTCCGGCAGCGCAGCTAGCATGCCAGTTAGCATGCCAACATCAAAGAGGAATCGCTCGGCAAGCTTCGATGATATTTCAAATATTTCTCCAGAAATGACAGACTTTAAGGACATACTGGAGTCTATCGATCAAAAGCTAAGCAGTTTAGATAGCCGGTTAGCTTTAGTGGAGGTGCTGCATAAATAATTCCAGGCTCTGAAGGTATCACTGGAGTTTAGTCAGGAGCAAGTAGCTAAGTTACTAGGTGGAGTTCTCTACCCATATCCCTCATGGGAAGAGTTGCCTCTTTTAAAATGATGGTTCTACCGAGAATAAATTATTTATTCTCAATGATACCAAATAAACCTTCACCTGACTGGTTTAAATCACTGGACTCCTTCATTTCTAAATTCCTGTGGAAAAACAAAACTCCTCGTATTAGCCTAAAATCATTACATACGTAAAACTAAAGATACCGGAGGGCTAGAGCTTCCAAACTTTTATCACTACTTTCTAGCTAATAGGCTACAATACATTTC